GAAATTACAGAATATATAAGTAGTATATTTCTTTGTGCTTCTCTATAGAAGAGTTGACCAGGAGTTGTCGTATAGTGTAGCCAATTCGTGTTCACAAGTAGTAATTATTGTCATACAAAGCCTGTATTTTTCCACGCAGCGATTATCACCATCATAAAAATACCAAAAAACATGATTTTTTCAATAGTTAAAATTAATCACAAAATTGTAATAAAATAAATTTTAGCGACGGAATTCCGACCCACAGATAGACATAAAACTCGTTTGACGGTAATGCTGATTAAGAAATCAACTCAACTATTGTTCATTTACATTGGCGTTTCGGAAAGTAGGGCACGTGTTTTATTTTGTGAATATATTTGTAATAGGTTTGTGCTATTGATAATATGAGTGTTATAGTTTGTCGTTTTATAGTAAATTTTTAGTTATATTCTGTGATTATTTGGTTCGAGTTTCTGTTTATATTGAAGTTTTATATATATATGTAGTTTTATTTGTTTATATTTTATGTACATTATATAGTTTTATATAGATATATTCTGTGATTATTTCATTTGAGTTTTATTGGAGTTTTGGTTTATACAATGGACGAAAAACCGAGTTGTTCCAAGAGAAGAAAACAAAATTTTGATGTTGATTTCAAAAATGAAAAGCCGCAAAAGAGACGGAAAATGTTAACGTCCGAAGAGAAGGTACTGATACGAAACTTTTATGAAAGAATTGTCGGCAAAAAAATGGCATTAAATGTTAGCCAAGCGGTCGACATTTGTAGCAGTTTAACAAAAGTATCCGTTAGCTGTATTTATTGTGTAATTAGAAATGCATCGGAAAATCAAAAGCAAGAAAAAGGTAAAACTAGAGCTAGGAAAAGCATTGTTTTAGATGACGAGACAAGGAATATTATACGTCGAAAAATTCATTCATTTTATTTTCGGAGTGAAATTCCAACACTGAAAAAAATTTCTCAAGAGCTCGAAAACGATGACTCCTTTTACCCAAGATATGTCGTAGAGTCTTAATCAGGACCATGCGCGAAATGAACTTTCGATATGTGAAACGCAACAGAAAAAGTATGCTATTAGAAAAAATGAAATTATTGTGCGGAGAAGAAAATATTTAGAAGAAATACGCAAAATTCGCAGCACTGGGCGCAAAATATATTATATGGATGAAACCTGGATTAACGAAGGTCATACAGTTGGAAAAGTTTGGCAAGATTTAAATGTGAAAAGTAAACGCGAAGCATTTATAGAAGGCTGGTCTACAGGATTAAAAGCTATATCAGGAAAGGGACGGCGTTTAATCATCACCCATATAGGAAGTGATACAGGGTTCCTTGATGATGGTTTGCTTCAATTTGAGTCGAAAAAAACAGGTGATTATCATGAAGAAATGACTTTCGAAGTATTTGAGCGCTGGTTTAAGAGAATTTTACCAAAAATGGAACCTGGGTCTGTGGTTGTTATGGATAATGCGCCATATCATAGCCGCAGACTAGAACAATTACCGACGACGGTATGGCGGAAAGGGAGAATTCAATAATGACTTAAAGAAAGCCTGCGTCTACCACCTTATAATTGCGAACTTAATCCCATTGAACTTATCTGGGCGCAAGTGAAAGAACACAACTTTCAAATTAAAAGTTAAGGAACTTTTAATTCAAACAATCCTCCATGTAACTCCAGAGACATGGGCTAAATGTATAGGCCACATAATTAAAGAAGAACGTCGTATGTGGGAACTTGACATTCATATCGAAGTTTTACTATAGTTTATTTTTATGAACGAGAGAGTAATTAGCATAATTTTAACTGGTACCTCCGACCACTCCATGGGCGTGCTCAAGATTAATTGAAAAATTACTTTGAATAATTGTAAAAAATAAATGAATTATTTCAGTGTTATAAAGTGTTATGTGTATGTAAACAAAAGTGACCTTTTTTATCACACACTATATTAGAACTGACTGGCCTACATTAAAAAGGGTTTTAAAAAATTCACATTTTTTTTAATTTTTAAAAATTACAAAAGAGAAAAAGAGTTTTTAAAACCGTCTAAGGTATGTTAAATAGATGAATAAAATATTAATATAAAACTTACAGCTACTTGTTACAAATCCAAATCAGATTCAGAAGTTGAACTTTCAGAACCAAGATTTATAATAACTGGCTCGATCATTTTATCAGTAATATTGTCCAGCTTCCACATTTTTTCCTCTTCTTTAATAGTGTGATTTACCGCCTTTTCCCAGTTTTCAGGTTTTACATTATTAACGGCCTCCAAAAACAACTGTTTAACATCATGAATTTTAAAAGTGGTATTTTTTCTTGAAACTTCACTCTTTATCTGTGCCCATACCAGTTCAATCGGGTTTAATTCACAATGATATGGTGGGGATCTAAGTACTGTCATTCCATGATTTTTGGCAATTTCATCTATTTCGCATTTTTTAAATTTTTCTTTATGAAGGCACACAACGAATAAAGTTTCTTTCTTATAGATCCGGGATGGTACGTAATATTTTTTGAACTCAGCCAATTCAGCAAGTCTTTTTTTAACCACTTGGTTGTGGGCAGTTATTCTATAAGTCTGGAGTGATAACTTGCATTATCCATTACTATTACACAGTTCTTAGGAAGAAGATCTATCATTTGTTCGAACCATTCTTGAAAGACATCAGCGTTCATGTCTTCATGGTAGTCACCGGTACGAGTTGATTCAAAAGTTAATAAACCACCTTCAACAAAACCGTCTGAACTGCCAATGTGTACTATTATCAGCCTGCGTCCCTTTCCTGATGGTGGGTTTAAACCAGTAGATAAGTTATTTACAAAAGCGTGCCTTTGACTTGTCACGGTTTCATCCTGCCAAAATTTATTTGGTGTATGACCCTCGTTGATCCATGTTTCATCAAGATAAAATATTTTTCTTTTTTGGTTTCTCATTTCCTTTATGGTTCTTAGAAAATGTCTTCTCCATATGACAATATCGCTTCTTTCTAATAAAATAGACTTTCTGGGATTCTTTTTCCAGCGGAAGCCTATTTCTTTTAAAAGTTTCTATAACGTACTTCGATTCATTTCTGGGTAATCCTTATCATCTCGAACTGAGACAAGAACTTTATCCAATGTTGGAAATTCTTGTCTAAAGAAGAATTCATGCACTTTCCGTCGAAGTCCTTCTTTAAAATGATATTCTATTTGAAATTTTGGTTTCCCTGGAGCATTACGTGGCATTTGAAAACTACCACATTTCTCTTCTTTAATTCTGTTAACTCTGTAAGTCCCAACACCAAGTGTACTGCTAACTAACTCAACGGTCTCATCAACACTTTCACATAAACGTTTGTCTGTAAATGATTTAAAACAATTAAATATTAATGTTTTTTCATTAACTGTTAAAGGACCAATTTTTCGGCGTTTACACGGCACTTCCAAATTTTCCATAACACTAGTATACACAATAAACTGCACCTTGCAACTAAAGTACCTACTTTTAGTGAACTGTTAAGAATTTTGAATACGCCACTTGGACCTTCCTACAAAATGGAAAAACCCACTATCACATTTTCTGTGGAATAAGTTTAGAAGGTAATTATCTAGTCAATTACTGTCGTAGATTCCTCGAATTAAAGAATTAAATGTTTGATTGTTGAAACCCTTACTTCGTCGAATGCACCCATTTGAGATAAAATAAAAAGTTTTATTTTATCTAAAGAATTAAACTTTATTTTGCAAATAGGTAGGTACTTATTAAACTTTTATTGGTTATATATAACCAATAAAATAAACATCTTACATTTCTTGCAAATTCATTAGTACCTGTTAACCTCCATCACTCCGACACTGGCAACCTTATTTAGGGATTAGTAACCCTCACAACTATTGTATTCTATTCTGCTCCAACCTTTATACCTGGTGGTCATACTCAATTTAAAATTGTTTTCCTATATACTTCTGTAAACTTGTTGACAAATATCTGTTTTTCATTGAGTCACCCGTATCAACAGTTTAGGGATTTGCATACATAATTTATTGTTTTATTACTCTCTCATACATAAAAATACACTATAGAGCCAATTATAATTACACCAGGTGAAGATAATGACAGCGATAGCAGCACTGCATCTTCAGATTTAGACAGCGAATAATATTTTTTAATAGTTTAGTGTTTGTGTATAAATAGAATAGTACAATGTTTTGTTATATCAAAAATTATTTTTATTTTGTTTTTATAGAACTTTATTTTGTTTTGTTTTATACTGTTTTTAAAGTGTTTTGCTCATTTTATTTAATGGGACAATATGGCTCTTGGCAAACACCCATTTAAAAAAGTAACGCGCCACAAGACATCTCTGGGGTGGTGTGGAGAATGTCATAAAATTTGTTTTAAAAAAATTTCATTGTGTAACTCTTTAAGGGCGGGTCGCGTCAAAAGACGTTTTAGCGTAACTTCCGCGGCAGCCAGGTGGCATCAGTAAGCTTTCTGCAAAATTAATTGTTTTTTATTACTTTTTGTTTGTGGCATTCTGTATTTTTAGGGATAAGGTTAGAAATGAACCACAATATATCTATTTATGTGTTTAATACATTGTCGTTTCGATCTCTATTCCAGAGACCGTTTTTAAAGATAGAAAAAAAAATTAAAAAAATATATAATAATAAACAAATAAAATAAATATAATAATCCTTCATATTTTTGAAAGCGGACTTTGGATATAGAAATCGAAACGTCAGTAAAAACTTGTAAATAAAAATATTGTGGCCTATTTCGAACAATAATATTTGAAAAATATAATATAATTAACGTTAAAAAAAGTGAGTGTACGCCACTGGATTTTCATACGTTATTCCCCACTTCACCGCCTTTAAACGATGAATCACTCTCTCAAATAGTGGGATTTGACCATAGTCAGTAATAAATTTTTTCCAATTATATATCGTCTGCAAATGCTATTACCTATTATGGTTCGGTTACTATATAGATTTACTTTATTTCAGTGGCCGTCAAACATAAAGAAACCAAGCAGTACTACACTCTATACAACACACTATTGGACACCAGAGTGTACATGGAAAAGGAACTGTCGTTACTCAACTCCATTTCCGACAGTTATCCCGAAGCCATGAAATCGTCCAAAGGCAAAGACGAATTCTTGGAGCAGTTCCAAAACATCGTCGAAAACGTCTGCCAATCTAAGCTGAAAGCGGAACAAAAATTGAACAGAGAGAAACAAACGCGCGATCAACTCAGTACTGCCCTGCACGTGTTGGTCGAACACCAACGAAGATACGCGACGGCTATAAAACAGTTGGGTTTGGAGTATAGAAAACATGAAATGCTTATTAAATCGAAGGAATAGTTTTTGTATTGATCATTTTGGAATATGAGTTTCGAATATGGCAGTAGGAATTGCTTTTACCGCTTGAGTGGAGGTAATGTATGTAACCGACGTTTACTGTATCCTTTTTCTTATTATTTATTCAGACTTTAAAAAACGTACAAGAAAGAATGTAAAATACTCAATAAAGCTATATTTATATACTCATTTTTCGTTTTTTTTTTTTATTAAATATTCTTTACCTCAGTTAACATAACATAACAATATCTTTATTTTTAGAAAATAATATACATTCCGTGAACATAAAATTATTTAAAAAAAAACAGTGTCACAAACGTTCTGTTATACTTAACCTGTGTATTGGAATTTTATAATTATATAACCTGGTATTCACTATACTATTGGGCTCAAAGTTCCTAAAGAGTATTTTATTTTTATATAGAAACAGTAAGCATTCTTGAATAAATACAGCGTAAACTGTTAAAATATTAGGTATTACTCCTAAAATGCCCTCTACATGATTCCCTACTTTTTAAGTCAAACATAACTCTGATTATTTTTTTCTGAACCAGAAATACATTATTTATGTCCCTACTGTGGAGAAAATTTATTAGACCATATCTAAATTTTGCTTCAAAATTACCATGATACACTGTTTTTAATGAGTTACTATTCATGTATTTTTTTAGAACTCTAAAGCTGTAAATCACTTTACTCAAAGACATACATAACTGGTCAACATGTTTATCCCAACATAAAAAACTGTCAATATATATATATTATATATATATATATATATATATATATATATATATATATATATATATATATATATATATATATCCGGTTTTTTAGGCGTTACGCCCGTCCGGTAGGGATCTATGGAGGAGTATCACCGAGCCGCAAGCCCGTATCTCTTGCCGTACTGCTCCACCATAGGCCGATCAGATCCCAGCATATTCTAGTCTAAGCCGCAGATTCATCTAGAATTTTAAACTGCTGCGTTAGACGTTTTGTTTTCTGTACACCGAGCTGGGGCTCGATCCCACATCCACTGGACCATTCGACAGTGAAGCGAATGAGAGGCAGCCGCACAGCCCGCTGAGCTATCTGACCGACTGTCAATATATAATCCTAAAAATTTGGTACTGCTGCTAATATTTAAAGTGTCATTATTTACAATAATACTGTTTGGTATATCTGAATGTGCATAATTTTTCTTAAACAAAAGAAGTTCTGTTTTATTTTGATTTAAAACCAACCTATTCATAGAAAACCAGTCTTTAGCTTTCTGGAACTCTAAACTAGCATTAACGCTTAGAACAGACATGTCTTTACCACTGACTAAAATGTTTGTATCATCTGCATAATTGTTATGCTGGAAGTAGTATTAGCCACTAGACCATGAAGATCATTGATATAGATCACAAACAGTAAAGGACCAATCACACTTCCTTGTGGTACTCCAATATTGATAGTGCTTTCAGATGAGATGCCTATTTCAGTGTTTTTATGTATTTTTACTAAATGTCTCCTATTTGCCAAGTAGGACTTAAACCAGTTCAATGCTGGTCCACGTATACCATATTTCTCCAATTTATCAAATAATATGTCATGCACTAAACAGTAATATGCCTTTCATAGGTCCAAAAAGAGACCCAAAGCCATAGGACCAATCTCAGCACATTTCAAAATATCCCAGACAAATTGAAAAATCGCAGTCTGAGTTGATTTTCCCTGTTGATAACCATACTGATTTGCACTAATAATATGACATTTTGTTAAAAATTCTGTTATTCGCCTATACATAGTCATTTCTAAGATTTTTGAAAAGGAACATAGAAGGCTAATTGGTCTATAGTTATTAATTAATTTAGGATCACCCTTTTTGTAAACAGATGTTACTATGGCAGTTTTCAGGCATTCAGGAAATACACCAGATTTTAGTGAATTATTTATGATTGTAGTGAGAGGATTCACTATCTCCTTTATACAAAGTTTAAGGATTTTAGTGGGTATTTCATCAATTCCACAACTCATTTTGTTTTTTAAATTTTTAGTTATATCCATAATTTCAGTTTCTGTCACAGGTGCGACAAACACTGAATTTATGTTACTTGCAATGTTGTCTTTATATTCAGTGTATTGTAATTGAGATAAAGTGTTAAGAAGTATTTAAGTGGATCATGTATTTATCAGCAATCTCTTGAGGACTGCCCTCTACTTTTATTGAATTTACACTTTTTAATTGACTATTAATTTCACTAACAATTTGCCACATGCATTTATTTTTGTTGGCAGCTTCAGACATCCTGTTTTCATATAGCTTTGAACGTTTTGTTATTAGTTTCTTATTATATTCTTTTTTTACCTGTCTATAGGAATCACAGAATTTATGGTTAACTCTGCTCATTGTAAACAAGATGTCTAAACGAGTCTTACATTCTATTATCTCTGGATCATCTCTTTTATTAAGGCCTTTTTTTACGTTGCCTAGAATCTAACTTTTTAAAAGGAAAGCACTGATTGAATATATCCGGAAACTGATTTAAGAAAGTATTCCATTGATCATTAACACATTTGTAACTTAAATTAAGCCAGTCATGATTATGTAATTTACTTATAAAGGTTTCAATATTATTTGTACTGAAATGTCTTTTCATTTCAAGAGTATTCGTTTCTGCTTCCTCTACCTCAAAAGTTAATTTTTGGACAGAATGATTAGAGATTCCAACGTGCAAGACTTCTACTGACACATATGATTGCATATTTGTTAGTATGTTATCTATACAAGTTTTGGATGTGGCAGTTACTCTAGTGTAATCTTCAATTACATGACAAATATGTGAGTTAATTAACATAAAAAATTTTACTTTATCTAATGTGTTATTCTTAAGATCGACATTGAAATCTCCCCCTATAATTATAATTGTGTTTTCTATCCTAATTGTTCCCAGTATAATATCAAATTTGTTTTAAAAAACTGCCAGATCGCTACCTGATAATCTGTAAACTGATGCTATAATGAGTTGCCAGTTATCTAGAAATATTAAAGAGCCTAAAGAGTTTCAAACTTTGGCAGTTATTAGGAAAGGCCATGCAGTTGCAGATACAATTGTCAAACTGTCAGTCTGTTTTGCCACCTCATCGTAAATGGTTAGTTTGTTCAAAAAAAACATTTGTGATTGCTAAAATTGTTTTATCTAAATGGATGTTGGTCGCCTTGTCTTCATACCCAGAAGGCTATTTGCATTGTGATAGTTTTTAAATAAAGATAATATTAAACAAAAACATTGATAAAGCTGTAATAAATTTCACTCCATACTCCAAGAGCATTATACTCTTACAACTAAACCAGAACAAACCCAAAATAAACATCCTACAAGTGTATGCTCCAACTGCGGACAAATCAGAGAGCGATATTGAAACTTTCTACGAAGACAACATTTTAAAATTCATTAAAACGTAAGATGTAACAATTATAACGGGAGACTTTAACGCAAAGGTTGGGGAAGAAAAAGTAAAAGAATGTACAGGAGGATATAGTCTGGGTAACAGAAACGAAAGGGGTGAAAGGCTTATCAAATTTTTCCCAAACAATAATTTTGTTATAGCTAATACATTATACATACTGACGTCCAGGCGCACCAATCACTCGCCTCGACTTTGCCTAGTCCTTCCCTTTTGAAACTTTTAATTATTTTAATTGGTTGAGAAATAAAAGGGTTTCATATCAAAGGTAAAATAACTTTAAATATGGGACATGTTCGGATCTCACTTCAGTACTGGTTTTACCCTCAGCGGGTAGCCGTCGAGCTCCTCACTTGAAGGACTCGGCAATTTTACACGAACACCTTAAGACTCTGACGTTGACCTTTGTTTTCGCTTCAGAATAGTGTGTTTTATTTCTACAACCCTAAACAAACATACAGGCATTGTCTTTTTCAAGACAATGCCCCAAAAGAGCTTCCTGGACTAAAATCGCAATATTGTGCAATATTGCGCAATGTTAGATCATGGCGATATTAATAACCATAGGAAATGCACATAGTTGCTTTTACGTTTTCCATGGCTTATTAATTCCAGAGACGACATGGCGCCCAACAACAATCGAACGCACTACGACTCTGAGAGTTCAGTCCTCATGCTCCACTCCAAGCGAACAAACTCGCAAATTCCGACACGATGTCGGCACAAACATCGGATATTAGTACGTAAACGCTAATATGCCGATATCCAGCTAGCTGCAGTTTTGCAACCGTCGATGTGTGAGATATCTTCGAGCCACCCGACTTCGATGCTGTACCTGATGCGATGGATGTCCCCGGAGTAGCCAGTCCCTGCCTGCCCTACCAGTATGTGGTCCAGAGCACCACGGAGGCTCAGGTAAACTCGCCTACGATACACCGGCGACATGCAGAAGGTACCGAAAGAGCTAGAATGGGACGTAGCGGCCGACGACCGACCACATCGCCGAGGAGGAACCTGCAGAAGATGCTGTCCACGACACCGATCACCGCCAGTGAGTGTTTATGCAAGTGTAGTGTTACGCGACGCGAAGTGTAGCGAGTGTTAATTAAGAACAAAGAACTGTAAGTAAAACTTTTAAAAAGACATTAAGTTTATTCATTTTTATGCATTTATTTACCTATTCTTCAACTTGTAAAAATTTTTTATTGTTCTTAGTTGTTAATAAAAATCAAAAAGTCTTTTTTATCAACCTCAGAGCCTCTAAAGCAGGGGGGGGGTGACGTCGAGGCGCACCAATCACGCGCCTCGACTTTGCCTAGTCCTTCCCTTTTGAAACTTTTAATTATTTTAATTGGTTGAGAAATGAAAGGGTTTTATATAAAAGTTAAAATAACTTTAAATATGGGACATTTTTGGATCTCACTTCAGTACTGGTTTTACCCTCAGCGGGTAGCCGTCGAGCTCCTCACTTGAAGGACTCGGCAATTTTACACGAACACTTAAGACTCTGACGTTGACCTTTTTTTCGCTTCAGAATAGTGTGTTTTATTTCTACAACCCTAAACAAACATACAGGCATTGTCTTTTTCAAGACAATGCCCCAAAAGAGCGTCCTGGACTAACATCGCAATATTGTGCAATATTGCGCAATGTTAGATCATGGCGATATTAATAACCATAGGAAATGCACATAGTTGCTTTTACGTTTTCCATGGCTTATTAATTCCAGA